AAAAAAAAAATCACATCTTTATTTCCACTAACCTTCACCTGAAATATAGCCTTTGCTCCATGAAGAGTGGCCGCAGCATTAGCTGTGCCTGTGAGTATCACCCACTAGGATCACAGATGTTTTTGTCACGTTAAGGGCATGTGGCCAGCAGCCCAGTTTGCCAAGGAATGAGGGGGCTTCCAGACACAGGATTTTCAGTGCTCAGATGGGAACGTAGGGGGCAAACCAGGACAAGTTGGCCATCCCTACCCCAGGTGAAATCCCTTACACTTATCATTATGCAAATATTAGGTAGTTAGTAGGTCCACCAGATCTTACTTAGTGCGTTTAAAAATATTTAATCGGTGTAAAGCTGTTTTGATAATAACTATATTTTAGCATTTGCTTTCCTGTGTAACCGCTATTTATTTTATATACTTAAAAACATTCTGCTGAGCCCGGGGCGATGTCTGCGGGGGCAAGCCAGCGAGAGGAGTGGGCGGCGGCGGCCAGGGAGCCAGTGCGCGTGCGCAGCGGTGGCCTCCCCGGCATCCGCCACCTGGGAGCGGCCGGGCGGGGACCGGGAACGGAACGAGCGAGCCAGCCAGGGGGGTGGGGCCCGCGGCGAGGCCCAGCCACCAGCGGGCGACAAGGGGACCTGGAGCAGCAGCTGCAGCGGGCGCGGCTGGCCAAGCTGGCGCAGCGCTACGACATGGCCTCCTCCATGTAGACAGTGACAGGGCTCAAGGAACCTCTCCTTGAAGATGGAAACCTCTCCGTGGCCCACAGGAATGCGGTTGGCGCCAGGCGATCCTCCTGGAGGGCCAGCAGCAGCGTTGAGCTGAACACCACGGGCGATGGAAATGGAAAGAAGTTGGAGAAAGGTTACTCACTGGGAGAGGACGGAGGAGGAGCGGGGAACAGTGTGCAATGGGGACAAGCCCCTCCTCGAGAGCTGCAGCGATTTCCAGGTATTTTACCTGAAAAGGAGAGGCCATCCCCACCGCGACTTGGCAGAGGTAGCTTCTGGGGAGAAGAAAAACAGGTGGTCGAAGCTTGTGAGGAGGCCTACAAGGACGTTGTTGAAATCAGCCAAGAGCACGGGCAGCCGATGCACCCAGTCGGACTGGCCTGGTCCCCATCTTCATGTTACAAGGTGCAGCATGCACCGGAGCGGGCCTGCCCCTCAGCCAAACAGGCCTTCCAGGATGCCGTAGCTGAGCTGGGCACACTGAACGAGGATTCCTAAAGGATCTAACGCTCATCATGCGGTTGCAAGACAACCCCACCCTGTGAGGGACCGGCTCAGCGGATGAAGAAGCAGGAGAAGGCAACTGAAGAGCCTTTGGGTCCCTGGCTCTTCCTTCACCCACCAGCCCCCATCATCGCTGATGCTTCCTTGCCACAATCACTCGATATCTAGTGCTAAACCTATCTTATCGGTATTGGCAGCACAGCTACTCAGATCTGCTCCCTATCCCAGCGTCTCTGAGCTCCTGACCCCAAGTGGAAGTGACACATAGGTGTGAGATGACACACAGGGAGGGAGGATCAGGTATACACACCTGAGGGAAAGCCAGATGGAAGGAGAACCAATGGAGGGAAAGCCAAAACATCACATGTGTGATTCAGATGGGGCATCCAGTTCTCCAGGGATCCAGCAAGGCCTCTGAACAGGGCAAGCAGGTCAAGGTGAGTCAGACAGAGATGTAATATGGGCAGTTCAGATGCTAAGGCTCAAATGAAGACCTCCATTTTTCAAGGCCTGGTATTCACACTCCCCAGTCTTGCCAAAGACTTAGCTCATAGCAGGCAAGGGCGTGTCCTTACCGGTCAGCATAACTTGCCGGTGAGGTGGGGAAAGAACAGCTGGGGCTACTTGTGCTGGACAGACTGAGAAATTAGGAGAAATGCCTTCTTTGGGCAAGGCATAAAGTTTCCACCAGGTGGATGAGAGTTGTTGAACTAGTCTGTATGATGAGTAATTTGTAATCTAGTAGAAAAGGTAATCACTAGGCTTGTCACAAAGCAATTTGCCAGGACGTTCGTTCATTCATTCATTCATTCATTCATTCATCCATTCATCAAAGATCCATAGCTTTTGTTGAGGAACCTTTGGTATTTAATGTGAGTTAAGGGGGCTGAATTTCTGCCACATATGGGTAACAGGTCTGTTCGCCTAGTTAAAATTCCATCAGCTCTTGATACCAGTTGGTCTTCTAGTATAACAGATCACAGAACAGGCAAGCAGGTTTTAAACCCATTGAGTTTGTGGCTAAGTAGTATTGCTGTGGTCACCTTTGTAAAGGCCAAGAGTGTCACATTACATTTTTCAGCTTTCATAGACGGTGTGGCCAGGAAAGCCTTTGGGCCAAGTGTTCACAAACACGGCTGACCTGAGGCTCTTAGTGCATATGTACATTTTCCTGGAAAACCTGTGACAAAGACAAGTGGGCAGAAATGTTCTTATAACAAATTAAATCTCAAACAATACCTAAACTTCCCCCTACTCTCTCATCATTTCTATTATTAGGTAGGTAGTTCTACACTTAAAAAAAAAAAGCTTCACTGAGATATAATTCACATGTCATGAGATTCACCATTTCAAAGTTTACAACTCAGAGATAGTAGCATATTCACAAAGTTGTTCATTGATTACAAAATATCTTTACCACACCAGAAAGAAACCCCATACCCATTAGCAGCCAATTGTTCCCACACATCTCCCCAACTTCTGGCAACCATGAATCTACTTTCTGTCTGGATTTACCTAATCTGGATATTTCATTTAAAGTGAATCATATATGCCCCAACCAGTTTGGCTCAGTGGATAGAGCGTCGGCCTGTGAACTGAAGGGTCCCAGGTTCGATTCTGGTCAAGGGCATGTACCTTGGTTGCGGGTACATCCCCAGGAGGGAGTGTGCAGGAGGCAGCTGATTAGTGTTTCTCTTTCATTGATGTTTCTAACTCTCTATTCCTCTCCCTCTCTGTAAAAAATCAATAACATATATTAAAAAAATAAAGTGAATCATACAATATTTACCCCTTTGTGTCTGGTTTACTTCATTCAGCATCACATTTGTAAAGTCCATCCATGTTGTAGCCTGGGTCAGAATCTCATCCAGCCCCTTTATGGCTGAATACTATTGTGTAGTCTACACTCTTCACCCTGAAGGACACATACACTCTTCCATTTGATGTTGTGGTTTTATCACACACTAGGAGAGACTGAATAAGACATTGTTTCTGTTGTTCAATTATTCTTCATGTGATTATGCCAAAAGTAAGATGGCGGTTTTCCGTGGGCATTTTCCATAACTTGGATGAACAGAGCCAAACAGCCTGTCCTGATTTATTCATTGAGTTCATTCCCTAGCATGTTCTGGGGAAGGTAGCAGCCAAAGCTGGTGGGTATTAGATGTGTAGCAGAGTCACAACGGGCCTCTTCTATGGGTGGGAGAGAAAAATCTTGCTCCTAAAATCCTCAAAGCTAAGAATGATCTCTGACAGACTTTAGGGGGTGTGGTGGGGATCTGGGCTTGGCTGAGCATGTAACTATTCATTCTTTTCTTCATTCATCAGCGCGTGGGATAAAAGGAGATTCAGAGACATGCAAGAGAACAGGGGAAATGGGCATTGGCTAGAAAAAGAAATCTCCTTTCTCATTGGGTTCTTTGGTCTGTGAGTCTCCACCATGGGCAAGGCCACCTGACACACAGCTGGGAGGGCCTGGAATCTGTGAGGCTCTCCCTATATCTTAGAGTTGGCAACTTTGGAAGGTGAGCCAGGGCCATAGAGAAACCTGAGTGGACACATTCCATGTGTGGGCAGCTACTGAGCAGGGTGATAGGCATGCCTAGCGTTCGGAATTTGGCAGCATAGCACCCACGGAATTACAGCTAACACTCAGTTTTGTTAATTAACTCCATCAGTATAACTCAAATGCCAGGTGTGTTTGCAGAGTATTTGTGTGTAGGAGGCAAATTATCTAGCTTAGGGTTTTAGATCCTCCTTAGTAGGAGCCAAAATAAACAAATTTGCTCATGAAACACTTCATTTTGTGCCAGGTATGGGGGTGATGGCTGGATTTCAGGTGCTGGACCCAGAATGAAGCATTTCTGTTTGTTCTACAATGGGCACTGAGTAGGCACCCTTGACAATCCTAATTGGAGTGACGATGGGCAGTCCAGTCTGTTGAGGGCACAGAATCCAGATGGCATTTTTATTAGGAGAATCCTGGCAGTGTGTGTGAATATGGGGCCCCCACAAGGCACAGTCCTGGGAATACCTTTGAACTTGGTTGAGAGTGACACTGCCACACCATTCCTAGAAAGATGGTATCATGGGCTGAATTGTGTTCCCACACCATTCCTATGTTGAAGTCCAGTCCCCAATACCTCAAATGACTATTTGGAGACAGGACCTTTAATGAGTTAAAGTTAAAATGAGGCTGTTAGGATGGGCCTTAACCCACTATGATGGGTGATGTTCTTATGAAAAGATTAGGACAGAATACCCAGAGGGGGGAAGACCATGTGGAGACACAGGGAAGAAGACGGCCAGCCACAAGCCCAGGAGAGAGGCCTCAGAAGACACCAATCTCGCTGACACCTTGATCTGACTTCTAGCCTCCAGAATGGTGAGAAAACACACCTGTTGTTTCAGCCACCCACTCTGTGGAACTTTGTTATGGCACCCCTAATGAACTAAGAGAGATGGCATAATCAGCAAGGAAGGCAATGAAAATGGGGTCCTGTAGGTTTTTCAGAAGTCATGGGGTCATGTAAGGGTGTTAAGGGTTGGAGTTAATGAAATTGATCTCTTCGCCCAATACCAAATTTAAGATAATGACTGTTTGCTTATTGTTAGTTTTTAAAGGGGGGGGGGGAGGGGCAGATCTGCCAGGACAGTTAGGGAGAAATGGCCCTGGCCCCAAGCACCCTGGTGGCCTCCAGCCTGGGGCTCCAGCAGCCGGTGGGCCATACTCTAGTGACTATAACTGCCAACTCCACAGAAGAGGCTCATTTTAGCTCCTGTTTAATTGTAGTCAGATATTAAACATTTATAAATTTTTATACAACAAATCAAGTACATGCAAAGTTACAAATATAGAAAATATAAAGTACATGCATATTCCAAAGACCACTTTGGATCCTTATAAAAAACTATTCAGTGCACATGGTAAGCCTAAGGACCACGCAAAAGGGTTCCCCACATATTTAGTACCTTACACAACAGGTAATGCATTAGATACTTCAGATATTAACTGCTCTAACCAAAATTTGTCATATGCAACATATACACATATATATGCATATACATATACATATATATATAATTACATAGAATACCCGCACAGTGTAAGCCAATAACATTGCAGAATAGTAATATAGATCTGCTAGGCGACAATATTGAATGATCCAGGGAATAATTTTACTTAAATAACAGGAACAGAATTTCTTTTTCCACTCAGAATGGATCATATTTCTGTCATCTCCAACCTAAGATTTTTCTTTGTGGATTTATTCCTTATTTTCCAACTCAAAATCCAATTACAGACATGAAGGATTCAACCTAATTCTGGTTTTTGACAACTATGAGACAGCAATGAAGAAACGCAAGCATTTCTCCATTACATAATCTTCTGTGATCATGGTGTTTTTACAGCTAGTTTCCTTTATATTAGTATCTCCTGGTTTCACCCAATGTCAAAATCATTCCTATTTCCAGGTAAATGAACAAAGGAGATTTGTTCTTACTTAGTGTCCAGAAGGTAACCTAATTTTTAACTGCCTTAATTATCTAGTGGATGTTACTAATGGAAAGGAATGCCACATGTAGCTACCCTCCAAAGGCACCACTCCCAAATGTTGGATTTTTTTAGTCCCAGAAGCCTTTCATATCATGTTATGATCATTTCCTATGAAATGTCCTCTGCCCAGAGGTCTAATGTTGCATGAATATTACTCTTGATGCAATAGCTGCTGTGTAGCCTATATTGTGAAATGCAAAAGAATGTCACAGTTCTCTGTAGACACAGGGCTGAGCCTGGGCCCAAGAGCTAAGGATTTCTAGTCCTATTTTTTCAATGAGTATCCTTCCAAATTTTGCAGAAATGCTATTTAAACAGACAAATGCAGTCAGGTTTGCTTAAAATGAATGAGAAAATGTGTCCAAATTGCTACAAAAACACTGGCAACTAAGACGGGGCATTAGTATACTGAGCTGTAGTGGGGCAAGGAGCCGGAGGTATCTAGGCAAAAGTATTTGAGTACTGTTTTTAGAATATGTTAGCCTCAGTATTGCACTAGGCAAAAAATAAGCCTAGGCCATGGAATGATTATTTGCTGTCACACTTTTACCAGCCTGGCACTTGCACTAACCCATGAAGGACTTAATCAAAAGGGGCTTGAATACATAGTGTGCCAGGCCTGCTCTATATTTCCCTGTGCCATCAAGCCAAGGGTATTAGCCTACGGGTGACAAATGGAGAAGCAAGAACGAGACACCACCACTAAAGGGCTGCAGGTAGATACCCCTTCCCTCCCCAGACAAAAAGCTGCCCTCACCCCACTATTAGGAAAATGAGGAAAGAGATGAGGAGGATCACAGGAGGGGAGGAGAAGAGGATCACGCTCGCCCCTCTTTGGTAAGAAGCCTGGTACTCTTTCTGGTACTGAGTGGTGCACATCTCCTCCACCACACGCTCCATAATCTTGACGTCTGTCTCGGTGATGTTCTCCCCCTTGGTGATGGTGGTGACCGTGTGCTGCTTGACCGTGATGTTGACACAGTCGCGCACAAAGTTGTTCTGGTTGTTGTACTGATCCACAGGCTTGTAGTACACTTGGTTGGGGAAACGGTTCATGTTTTCACGATAGTAACGGTCCTCATACTCATTGCCAAAATGTATGGGGGGCCTGCTCATGGCACTTCCCAGCATGTAGCCCCCCAGGCCCCCCACCACTGCCCCGGCTGCGGCAGCTCCTGCCACATGCTTCATGTTGGTTTTTGGCTTATTTGGCTTGTTCCACTGATTGTGGCTGCCACCACCATGGGGCTGACCCCAGCCTCCACCACCATGGGGCTGTCCCCAGCCTCCACCACCATGGGGCTGTCCCCAGCCTCCACCACCATGGGGCTGACCCCAGCCGCCGCCGCCCTGGGGTTGACCCCAGCCGCCGCCCTGGGGTGGGTAGCGGTTGCCTCCAGGACTACCCTGCCCCGGGTATCGGCTCCCGCCGGTGTTGCCTCCTCCAGGCTTCGGTCGCTTCTTGCAGAGGCCCACGTCACTCCATGTGGCCACAAAGAGAAGCAGGATCCAGCCGCCCACGAGGCTTTTCACCATGATGACTTATCTGCAAAATGAAGAGGGTGTCAGAGTATTAGGTCTATGTTAAAAGCACTGAATATTTGCTGCCTAACAAATGGCTGCACGGCAGTGACATCAGCACCTCCGGCACATGCTCTTCACTCTCTGTTTCCTTCGAAGCACCTCTGACAAAAGTAAACTGTCAAGTAAAGGGTTAACACAACACTTTCTCCTTCTAGGGATGATTTTGACCTTAATATCATTTCGGCTCTGCTTCTGGGAAATGTGATAAAGGTGGAGTGTCAGCAACATTGCTTATGGAAAAAATAACCTCTGATTTAGAAATGCAACCGGACTGGGAAAACCTAAGGACACCTGGTGGGGTTGCCATCAGTTTGGGCTTTCGAGCAGTGATCCTTGCACCTGGCACATCCTTGTGGGGACCCTGGAAGCTGTGCCCATTGGGCTATTATAAGGGACAATGGCTCCTGTGGAGCCTGGGGCTTCTATGCCAAGGAGAACCTGCCTGTTACCCACCAATATGGGTCTCATGCCCTTAAGCCTGAGCAGGCACTATGGGGTTTGGGGGTGAAGACAAGACCCGGGCTGCTGGGTGGACCACTGTACAACCCTAGTGCGGCCCCTATGGAAGTCTGTGCGTCTAATGTCCTGTTAGGAAGCTCCCAGGTGGGTGCTGCTGTAGTGAAACACAGCTGATTTCAGCCTTTTCTCCCCTGTAAGAATGTAAGCAGGAAAGAAGTCTCTTTGCTGCTATTTCCTCTGGGGCCAGGGCAGTGCTTAGCACAGAGCACGCACACAATAGATATTTGTTAAGTGCAGGAATTAACATCCCCTGAACATATAAATGCCAACAAGAATTTGCTTAAAGGAAAACTTTTTTTTTTTTTGAAACAGGAAACAAGCCAACTTATAAATTCATCTTTCTCTCTATACATGGACAGACAGATGGAGCTGCTTAAAGTGGGGTAAAGATGGCTGTGCTCACAAGATCTGCACTCACTCACTGGCTGAATAAGTTTAGCTCAGCAGGTGATGGTTTAGGAGTGACCTATTTTCTTCTAATTTTTGGTACAGAGAAACATGTCTTATATAAAAGGGCTTAAGAAAAAACAAATAACCCAAATATCCTGTGTGATAATTTATGCCCCTTTGCAGAATCCAATTTTAAAAAAATCTCCTTTCAGACAAAAGATCTCATTTATCCTGGGTGCTCAGGCCTAAGGGCAGAGCTCTAAGCACACAGTAGAATGATTATTAAGCAGTTTCTATTGTACCCCACGTCAGAGCATACGCTCTTTAATATCATTAGGTGCCATAAAACCCAAAGTGGCATATGCTGAAATGCTGATGTTACTCTTATCCCCAGCACTGTTTATCTTCAAATGAAAGTGGAATCAAGGACTAGAAAATGATTTTTCATAACCTTCAGAAAAGAAGGATGAAATAAATAAATGAATTAACATCCTGTTTATGTTTTTACTATCATAGAAATATCTTGGAGATCAAAAGTATGTTTGAAAGTTATGAGCCAAGTTAAACTGCTTAGATCAAGCCAATGTAGGACTTTTGGAGGCTGTTGGGTAAGGATCTGAGGGGAAGGGTTCTGGCACATGGCCTGCTCTCCATCTGCTCATGGCACCCAGCTCCTGGCCTCCATGCTGTTCGCCCTTCTGCACAAATACCTCCGGGAACTAAACTAGGGGATTATCACCCTCAGTCAATAATGCCCAACCAAAAGGGGTTCTGTGTCAACAACTATTTCATTCATTCCCATGAGCCAAACTCAGACAACACCCTAGAGCAGTGATGGCGAACCTTTTGAGCTCAGCGTGTCAGCATTTTGAAAAACCCTAACTTAACTCTGGTGCCGTGTCACATATAGAAATTTTTTGATATTTGCAACCAGGGTAAAACAAAGACTTATATTTTTGATATTTATTTTATATATTTAAATGCCATTTAACAAAGAAAAATCAACCAAAAAAAGAGTTCGCATGTCACCTCTGACACGTGTGTCATAGGTTCGCCATCACTGCCGTAGAGCTATTCTTGAAGTTTTTCTTTCTCACAGCACACACTGACTCTATCAGCAAATCTTATTAGCCTATCTTGAAAACAAATCTTAAATCCTGAAACCTGTCACCTTTTCCAACACTACCATCCTAGCTGAAGTCTTCTCCATCTCTTCTGGCCGGAGTCTTTACAGCCTCCAACCAGCTCCCCGCTTCTGCCCAGGTCCCCATTGTGTGTTCTCCACTCAGTGGCCTGAGAGAGCCTTTTCATATTCAGGTCACACCCGGCTACTCCTTTGTACTCAGGATAAAACCCAAGTCCTGAGCATGCCAGGCAGGCCCCACACGACCTCTCCACTGTTTCTCACATCTGGCAATACTTTCTTATCTTGGGTCCTTTGTACCTGCTGCTCCCAGAGCCTGGAAGCTTCTTCCTCCAGTTCCTCTTATGGCTCTGGTCTGCTTTGACGACACCTCAACAGGTGTCCACGCCACCCTACATAAGTCAGCACCCCGTCATATCCCTCACCCTGCTTCACTTTTCTCCAGGGCAGCAATGCTACTTAACATCTATTGTTTACTGTTTGCTTATTGTTCATCTTCTCCAGGACAGGAGTTTTGTGTTGTGCACAACAGTATTCCTAGTGCCTAGATGTCATGTCTAACTCATAGACATGCAAAATAAATGTTGAATGAATGAATGAGTGTGAAAACATCTATGATAAAGCATACAAGATAAGCTAAAAATTAAATTTCTATCTACAGTGAACCATATTTATGAATTTACAAAACGTATTCTTTTCTGCAATGGCCAACTGTCTACCATCTTCAACTCAGTTAAATAAATATTTAGTTCATGTACCAGCCACCATGACAGACTCTGGGTGAAGATGTCACCTGAAATGATTGAGGTGGGAGGCAGAGGAGGCTGCAAGGGGAGTAACACAGTCTGGTGTTGATCATGCCTTGTTCAGGGCTGTAAGAGTTGCGGCTCTGTCAGCTCAACTAGACAGGTAAGCAGGTGATGACACCATAGTACAGGAGGCACAGAGAGGGACTTGGTCCTCAGGGAGCCAGACACAGGAGGTGGATGGGGCCACAGAGCATTCAGAGTGGAGACAGGTGGTGAGAGAGAAGACTGGCAGGTCTGGAGATGACAGGGTTTCATGGAAGTGAAGCTTCAATGTGCAGTGGAGAGGCAGGTAGAGGTCAGGTGACAAAGGGCCTCCTAGGCAAGGTGAGCAGCATCCTGACTTGCCTGGGAGAGTTTACACCTGTTGTTCCTGCACTAATATTAATAGTGCCCCTTTCATTCTCAAGAGTGTCCCAGTTCGGATGCTAGGTTATACAGTCAGCCCAATTACAAGGCATGTCAAGTAGTCTGCACTTGATCCTGAAGGCAGTGGAGAGTTTGGAGTTTTCTTTTAGAAAGAACATTGTGGAGAATAAAATGGGGATTGTGTGTGTGTGTGTGTGTGTGTGTACAGAAACTAGTTAGAAGGGTACTGCAATGATCGAGGTAGAAGAAGATGGCCCTGGCCAGGGGGTGCAGGGTAATGGATGGTTTTACGTAGATGTTAGCTTCTGGAGAGCTTGGTGTTTGATGTGGAAGGTGAGAGACTGGAAGAATTGAGGTTTCTGGATTGGGCAGCTACTTGGACAAAATGCAGAAGGCAGAGCAGGTGCGGAGGGAGATTACTGAAGGGCTTGGCTTTGGCAATGCTGTTATCAAGCTACATGTGGAATAAGAGATATCAGTAGATAGCTTGACAGCTTGGTGAGTCTAGAGTTGAAAAATGACCATGGACTGGAGATACAGGCAATAGGGAACCAGAGACATGGCATGTGTTGCTGATTAGAACTTTAAAACTGAATGCTGAATAAAGAATATAATATTCAGTATGTTATTATGTTCACGCTATTGAATCATTCATAGAATATATTAAGACTAGATCATTTTAAAACCAGTTGAGAACAAAAGTAACATTTAATTATGAAAAGCATTAAAAATAACAACTACATTTTGAAGTAGAGAATCATTTCTAAGAATAAAAGGGACTCAAAACTTACATCAGACCTTGGAGAATCTCTTTCTATTTGTGATAAAATAAGGAAGATCTTATAGTATTTAACCCAAACCTCTTATTCTACAAATTAGACCACTAAGGTTCAGAAAGGTCAAGAGTTCGCTAGTGAACTTACTGGGAACAAAGACTAGGCTTCTGAATCCCTGGCTGTGCTGTGACACTAATCATCTCAGATACTCTCTGTGAAGGGTCAGGTTGTGGCCCAATCCTCTGGTACATTTAAGACATTAAGTATTTGATAAAAGTAAATACCTATTTATCACTAAGAAAATTCCTACTCAACAGAGTAGGAACAGGAGGGAACTCCCCTAACTTGATAAAGGTTATTTAACAAAAACAACAAACATAACGGATAACCTCTGAGTATATTTACTTTAAATCGGAAACAAGACAAGTCCAAGTAGCTGCCCAATCCAGAAACCTCAATTCTTCCAGTCTCTCACCTTCCACATCAAACACCAAGCTCTCCAGAAGCTAACATCTACGTAAAACCATCCATTACCCTGCACCCCCTGGCCAGGGCCATCTTCTTCTACCTCGATCATTGCAGTACCCTTCTAACTAGTTTCTGTACACACACACACACACACAAGGTCCATTATCTTAGGACACATGCAAAGATAAAGAAGTAACCAGTGTTAAGAACTGCAAAAAACCAAAAAACAAAAAAACCCCCACCAAAACACCCCCAAAAACCCCAGCTATCATTATTTGCAATGACTATAATCATATACGTAGAAAAGCCAGCAGTCTCAACAGAGGTAATGAGACCCACACAAGATCTCAGCAAGGTTATGGGATACAAGGTTGCCTACAAAAATCAACAGTATTTCTCTACACCAGCAATAGTTGACTAGAAAAAAATTTTTTAGGAAATAAGACATTCACAATAGCAACCCAAACTGTAAAGTATCTAGATATTGACT